CCGTGGTTCAGTTCCGCGTCACACAATGGCGCACCAATCGCATTACGAAGGAGTCTGTGGAGTTGAATGCAACGATCAATCTTGTGGATCTTGCCGGGAGTGAGCGACAGAAGACAGCCAAGACGGACGGAAAGAGTCGTGACGAGGGCATTCAAATCAACCAGTCTCTTGCTACGCTGGCACGTGTCATAAATGACATTTCACGCGGGGCAAAATACGTGAACTACCGTGATTCGTTGCTGACGATGGTGTTGAAGGACAACTTGGGCGGCAACAGCAAAACGTTTATGATTGCCACGATTGCCCCTGTCTCGTTTTGTTATCAAGAGTCATGCGCCACACTTCAGTACGCGAAGGATGTTCGTAAGATTCGTAACCGTCCTACAGTAAACAGGACATTTCAAACACGTTCCAATTTACTGGAATTAAATGCACGGCTCAAGGAAGAAAATGAGCAGCTGAAGCGTCATGTAGAATTTCTCACGAACAAATGTAACGCGGACATGTATGACGCAGAATCCAATGCTGAGGATGTTACTCTTACGCTGGAGAAGGCAACTGGCATGACGAAGGGATGCGGTGCTGTTTCAATGAGGCAAGGAAAAGACACCGCGATGGAAGCAGTCATTGCCGCCCCTGCTGTGGGAGCTTCACCTTTGGTTATCACGGCGCACCGAAAGTACGCCAGCGTGGGTGGAATTGGTGGCTCGTGCCTGCAGGGCGGCTGTGTCGGGGTCACATCGCTCACGAAGGAGATTGTACAATTCCGCATTGCGGAAATGTTGGGCCGTGCGCAAAAGTCAGACGCTCAGCCGCGGGAGGGAGATCATGAGTTAGGTAACAAAGTAGACTATGGCGTCATTGAATTTGAACTTGTTTTGCAGCGGTCATGTGAGCAGCGGTACTGGATGCGACACATTCCATCCGATGACGCCGATGCAGGTTTAAGCGATGCGGTAGAGTGTCATGTCAACGGATTCAGATTGAAGAGTGGGGAACGTCGACAGCTGCAGCACGGGGATGTCGTGAGTGTCTTTTTTGACGGTTTGGACGATGGCTCCGAGCAGGATTTGTTAACATTCCATTATGTGGACATCAACTCTCTCTCGCGCGGTGGCAATTCTGGTGCTGGCGTCACAACAGGTGAT